GGCCCCCCGCAGAGCCGCCGGTGGATACAGACAGCGCTACGCTTCCCCACGGGAGAGGGTCATGGAATTCATAACCCATGAAACCCATCTCACCTTCCCTTTGAAGCTTCCAGCCGCACTCTTGAAGCTGTCCAGCTTCTCTTGATAGTCAGACACACTTTTGGGTAGGAACAGCAGGATGTGAGTCTTGATCTCCCCTCCAAAGATTTTAGGAGCAGTCTGAGGAGTAGAAAACAGGTCATTTTTGGAAGTTAGTCGGTGTCGTGACCAGTTGGCTCTGCTGGTCTGACCAGACCACGCGAGCCTCCAACACTACAGGACTGCCCCGAAGCTTGTGGCCCCTTCCCCGTGTTCTTCCCTTCTCCATAACCCCAAACCAGCATCAGCTCCACCCCACCCTCGACTCCGGCTGAGCATGGACACAGCCTCAGCCAGCACCTACAGACCCACCTGCTCTGTGAACTCTATGACCAGAGGCAACGCGTTAGCCTTGATGAAGTTGAGCAAGTTCTCTTTGGTGAGATCCCCCTCGAAGGTGTTACGGCCTTCGTCAAACTGCAACGACAGAGCCCTGCGTTACGGCGCTTCCGTGCCCATACGGACCTCCTGCAGCAGGAGGCATCCACACCAGAACCACCGCCCCACCGACCTCGGCCGCGCGACCCTCGAGGGATGGGCAAGACCTGGCTCGAGGTTGAGGCAAAGCCTTACCCACCCCCAGCAGCACCAGCCAGCTCCCGGCGTGGTTCTGCGCAACCAGGCAGCACGGCGTGACCGGTCACCGCGGCCCTTCCGCTGCCTCAGCGCTGTTCTCTGGGATCAGCGGGAAGCGAGCAGAGCAGAGGCAGCTTTCTGACCCGCGGGAGTTGTGTTGGAGCCGACACGCTCCGGTGACCAGCCAGCGCTGCAAAGTGCGACAGCGCAGCCCGCGGCGCGCCCACGGCAGCTTACTGAGCCCCACGGGGCATCGCGGGCTGTCCGAGCCAACAGCTCCCGACCAACGCTCACGTTGCGCTAGAGGCACCGGATCCCTTTTTGGAGGGGGTCATCACCTGCATCCCTGACCGGGATTCTCAGAACCCTCTCTGGCAGCCTGGAAAGGGACCAGCTGTATAGGGCTGCCAAGGCTAAAGAGGGGTGTGCAGGCTAACCCAGCAGCACTCGGGTTACGGGCAGAAGCGGGAGTGGACTCGGATAACCTCCTGGTAGGGGAAGCTCACCAGCCTGGCCGGAAAGCTGAGCACAACGCTTGACACTGAAGTTACCTTCCAGGGCACTGGCTGTCGCCCTCAGCGCCCTCACAATGGCATTCAGGGTCTCCAAAGCCTGGAGAACTCGCACAGAGCGGAGAAGAGCCACCAGCCCTTTTAACCCAAGCAGCAGCAGGAACTGAACCAGAGTCAGAGCCATAACTACACGCAAAGCAACTCCAGCCCTCCCACCAATGCCTGTTTTCACCCCGGCTGGGCCGGACAACTGAGAGCTCTGGGGACACGAGCACATCGCAGCAGAACGGGACTGGAGGGTGAGGGACAGCACATCAGCTCGGCGCATCACCAGCCTGCAGCGCTCCGCGTGCGGGGAACAAGCCCAGGGTAGCAGCGCAGCGGCGCTGAAGGCCCAGCTGCAGCCAGGCCACTGTGTGGCACCCCCATGCCGACAACCCCGGGCGGCCACTCCTGTTCAGCGTTCGCCAAAGGACCCGAACAGAAGCCGAGAGCCCTGCGAGCAGCTCTTTGGGCCAGCGCTAGCCACGGGCAGAGCACGCCAAAAGCTTACACAAAGCCCTGCGTGCCGGGAGCAAGATACAGGCGGGGAGTCAGTCGAGAGCACCACGCTGCTCCCTCCTCTGCCCCACCCCGGTCCTGTAGCTGGGGAAGCACTGGGGGCTCCTTAGCCAGACCATTCACCTGCACCGCAGTGGGACCACGGAGAACTGTGGCCTACAAGCTTCTAGCACCGCAAAAGCTGCTATGGCAGACGCGCAGTGGAATAAAACCTCCTATTTTAGCCCAGGAAAGAAGGAAATTGAGAATTCCTTCAACTCCTCAGCCTGCCTGTGGTCAGATCCGTGACTGACTACAGCCCCGGCCCAAAGCTGCTTTCTGTCCTGCCTCTCCGCACCCAGGCATGCAGTACCAAGGCTAAGGATCCCCTGCTTGCCGTCTCCAGCCCAGAATTCCATCCTAGGGACTTGGATTTTAAGAGACATCACTAAGTTCACCTCTGAGCCTACAGACGGCCAGCATCCCACGGCACGCAACCCAACTGCCTCAGCCTTGTCAGCTGGAGCTGCGAATCCTCTTAGGAGCTTCCCTGGAATCGCCAGGCCACAGCTGCGAGCCAGACCGACTCCTAGACGCAGCCGCTGACCGCTGCAGAGAGCGGTGCCAGAAGCACCTCTGCCACCCAGCTGCCTGCAGCACCCCCTGCTGCTGCTGTGCCCTGCCACGGGGTCCGGGCTTTGCCACCCCCCGAGGGGCTGCAGGCCCCACTCTGTGGCTCGGCAAGAGCCAGGCTGACAGCACAGGACCTGCTCTTTTGACTAGGGCTGCCCTCATTTCAACCCAGCTAATTAGGGAATAATTAGAGAATAGGCAAAGAGGGGCAGGAGGCTCGGCCGGGGGTCCCGGTCTGCGCCTCCCCCCGCCCCAGCCAGTACCTTCTTGAAGAGGACCACGCCATCCTTGCTGAGCTGGTACTTGCTGAAGACGTCAGCACTGGAGGAAATCCCAAAGGGAATGTCATCCACGGCTTCCGCTGCCAACAAGAACTCCTTGGCAGCCTCTGACGTCAAATCCTGGAGAACAGAGAAGGTGTCGCATGTGGGACACTCGGGCCTGGAGCACAAACGTCTCAGCCAGGGAACCAGTAGAGTGAGTGAGGCAGGGCAGCAAGCGTTGCACCACTGGCGCAGAGCCTGCCCTGGCTGTCACGTCCCCAGGGGCGGAGAGCAGGGAAGGCCCTGGACATGCACAAGAGCTCCTCAGACAGAAGCACAAACTCTACCTGGAAGAAGCCAATCACAACCACTTCACTGGAATCCACCAACGTCTCCGCTGCGGCAGCATCCGTCAGGGTGGTCGCGGCCGGGCCGGTGCGTTTCTTCAGCCAGCTGACAATATCATCCGCTTCTCGGCCAGCTGCGCCAGAAAGGCAGGAACACCACTCAGCCCCTTCCCCCGGCTGAGAGAAGGAGCACAACCCCCTAAGCCTTGAGGTGGATCCGGGATCACTCTTCCTCGTGCTCCCAGGGTAATTGAGCTAATCCCTCAGTGCTAAATCAAGGTACAAGGCCTTGCTTCCAGCCCAAGCGTGTCCTGAACCCCCGAGCAGCAGGCAGAAGCGCCGCGTGCATCACCTCCTCCTTCCCAAGCCCTGCCCCCCGCTTCTGCTCAGCGTGGGCTCCCCACGCTCCTTTGCCAACCGCATGAGCGTCTCCGGGCTGGGGG